GGTCTTTAGATTATTTTGGTATAGTGCGTGAGATTTTATGGCAGAAGTAAATTACAGAAAAATAAGAGACGTCATAGTTATATGGATTGTAAAAATCCCCAAAGACTAGGAAAAGATGGAGTTGTGTGTTCCTAGGTTCTTGAAACAGCGAGTTTCGAATCTCTTGCAATTACTTGAGCCCTAATAGAAAGGTGAGCACCTGAGGTTATTAGAGGAGTAGTAATTGACAAGGTGCGTACTAAGAGACGTCTTCCCAAAAGAAAAGTGATTATTAAGAAATCTTGCTGCTTGGTTAACCGGCAGAGCTGATTCAACTAAATAAGTTACATTTTTGAAGATTAAGTAGATGGTTTCTGTTCAGAGAAGTCTTAGATTACGAGAAAAATTGAAGTGTTGATCTCTGTCGAGAAAGTTACGGTGAAAGTCGTTTGGTTATCGGTTTGGTTTGAATTTGGTACCAATTCTTCATATATAGGAGTAAAGGCTCCATTTGAGTATTTACACTGACTCCGGTTCGGTTCGATACCTTAAAATTCAGTTTGATTCAGATGGGTTTTTCAGATCCAGTTTTTAGGCACAAAGGTACACTTAGTACTTATGATTTTTACTCTGCTTTTGTCGCCTCAAAATCATGTTTATAAGTTCTACTCCTCTATCTACTGTGGTTGACAGCTCTCATCAAATTCTCTTTACCGATATCTTCGATCCCTGCAGTAGCAGGAAATCCAGAACTTGCTCCCTAGACTTCTACTAATTATTGATGGCATTGGACTTCTTATGTTTTGTTTCATTGCCATTGAACCTATGACTGAGAAAATACAAATCATAAATAAATAATATTGTATATAATTAAAAATAAAACATCCTCAAAATAAGTAAGCAAAAAAACAAAAATTGTTTAACAATATCAGTCCTGTCTATTTTACTTATTTTTCAGATTCGATTTTGTTAATGTTGACTTTTTAAAATAAATTATTCATGTATGATTTAATATATTAATTATGATTTATTACATTCTTATTTGTTTCTACTTTAATTTAATGTATATATATCTTTCTAATTTATTTTTTCTCTTTGACCTTTATTGTTTCGAGTAAATAATTAATTATTAGTTGATTGTTCAGATTTATTTGTTTAATTTTGACTTTTTTTTTAATCTAAGATTTAAGATTATTAGTTGTGGTTCATTACATTATCATATGATTCTATTTTTATTTTATTTTTAGATATCTTTCCTATTTGTTTTTATCTTTGACTTTTTTGTTATGAGAAACTTAATTATTAGTGAATTAAGTAGAATATATTTTGCATCAAATTTCTTATATATATGATATTCAGGAGTATACTACAATTACATCTTTCAATTTGCTATTACAAAATTTTGGCTCAATTGTATCATAAAATGACTAAAGCCACTTTTTTTGCTATCTTCATGATCATTCTTGCTTTAGGTTTGTTTTACACTCAAAAATTATTATACATTTTCCATGTTTCTTCTTTTAAGTTTGGTGGTTGTTTTCATCCGCATTTTATTTTTTGGTTAAAAAGTTTGATGATATTTATATATTTTTGGGTAAAATTAAAAAGATGATTTTAATATATTTTTTAATATTTATTATTAGGGACGGTGATGAAAGAGACGCAAGGACAAGAATTATGTCATGAATACTTTGTAGAACCACAAATTTGTAATCCTACACAGTGTGCTAATCAATGTACTGCAAAATGGAAAGGATCAGGCAAGTGTATAGGGGGAACCAAGAGCTGCATATGCACTTTCAATTGCAAAAACTGATGTTTTTTTGTTTTTCTTAAACTATCATCAAATAAATATCGATAAAAAACAATAAGTTGAAATAAAATAATATATTGCAATCTTTTATATTTCTAATGTGGATTCAGATTTCAATTATTTGAATTAAACTATAAATGCTGTTTTAGCATATATGCCTTTAATCGCATTGTCATTTGACTCAGTTACTATCAATACTAGCGATAAAATTGCAAAATATAGCAATGAACATAAATAATTAATCTTACATGTTTTTTTATCAAAAATTACTTTTATATGTTGTGAATTATTCTTATATGTTGTGAATATAGAATAGATACATCGAGAATATCAATATTAATGCTCCAACACTTGATCTGTAATCTGTCATGGTTATATGGATCGTAAGAATCCTCAAGGACTAGATATAGTTGGAGTTGTGGGCTCCTAGGTTCTTGAAAGAGTGAGTTTAGAATCTCTTGAAGTTACTTGAGCCCTAATAGAAATGTGAGCATCTGAGGTTATTAGAGGAGTAGTAATTGACAGGGTGTGTACTAAGAGACGTCTTCACAAAAGAAAAGTTATTGTCAAGACATCTTGCTGTTTGGTTAAACAGCATAGCTAAGTCAACTAAAGAAGCAACTGTTTCTGAAGATGAAGTAGATGATTTCAGTTCAGAGAAGTCTTGGATTACGAGAAAAGTTGAAGTGTTGATCTATGTCAAGAAGGTTACGGTGAATGTCGTTTGGTTACCGGTTCGGTTTGAATTTGCTACCAGTTTTTCAGATATAGGAGGGAAGGCCCCATTTTAGTATTTACACTGATTCCAACATTGGGGTGGAACTGATACATATGCAGAAATAGTTTTGAATGCAGATGCTGAGTAAGTACTTAATGTGAGCGTTGATACAGATATCAGCACAGAACAGAAATAGGATGTGGTGTTTAGAAGAGTACAGGCTGATGCATCTGAGGGTGTACCATATGGTACATCAGAGGATTTATATGATAACCTATCAGGAGGCAAGGACTTGACATCGATCAAAAAATGATGTGGCAAGTGGTTTGCTGAACTGGGCCAAGTTTCTAGGTTATGTTATATTTGTTGCAACAGATTTGGTAAGTAGATAAGCTTGAGGAGCAAATTGTATATATTCGTGATCGCATGGAGATCCTATGTGCTGAGGTTAAGTAGTTAATATAAATAATTTAGACCATCTTATGAAGATGGTGCGTGCCTAGGGTATCATTGATGGAGGCACACGTTGTGTGTGGCGTCGCCCCCACCAGACAGACAAGATGTAGATCTATAAGCTATGTTGGTGGTGTTCATGTGAATCTTCTAATCTGCTGAAAAACTGGATGTGTGATGATTCATAGTAGATTTTCATGTAGAAAAGGTTGCATACAATCATGTAATTGTTATGTTATTCTAATAGAATCATTTTGTCCGAGAATGTAGGAAAACTAAAGCCCTTTAACAAACTTGTGTGTTCTTTACTTTATGCACTTGTTAGTGTTTTTTTTTAACAAACGAATATATGATCTAGCCCGAATCCAAACTGACAATTGGTATCAGAGCAGGCTCTTGGAAACTACGAGCGAGATCCTGCAGAAATTTTGGAGATTACAGAGGGGAGCGTGTTCAAATATTGAGACAATATAGTCTTAATTTCAGGTATGATCATCGTTTTATGGTATGAAGCAGAATAGTTAAAGAAAAGTTAAGGTAGCTGAAAGAGAAGGTGATTGCATGGGTACTTATAAAGGGAATCTGATTAAAAACGTGATAGAGATTCCTGCTATTTTCGCTTTGATATAGCAGGAATATTCTCGAGAGAAGATGTTTTTGCTTTCCTTAGTATTTGGTATGGGTTTTTAAATTATTTTGGTATAGTGTGTGAGATTTTATGGCAAAAGTAAATTACAGAAAAAGAAGAGACGTCATGGCTATATGGATTGTAAGAATCCTCAAGGACTAGGAAAAGTTGGAGTTGTGAGCTCTTAGGTTCTTGAAAGAGCGAGTTTCGAATCTCTTGTAATTACTTAAGCCCTAATAGAAATGTGAGCACCTGAGGTTATTAGAGGAGTAGTAATTGACAGGGTGTGTACTAAGAGATGTCTTCCCAAAAGAAAAGTGATTGTCAAGACATTTTGCTGCTTGGTTAAACGGCCGAGCTAATTCAACTAAAGAAGCAACCATTTTTGAATATTAAGTAGATGATTTCAGTTCAGAGAAGTCTTGAATTACCAGAAAAGTTGAAGTGTTGATTTCTGTCAAGAAGGTTACTGTGAAAGTCGTTTGGTTATCGATTCGGTTTGAATTTTGTACTAGTTCTTCAGATATAGGAGTGAAGGCTCCATTTGCGTATTTACAATGATTCCGGTTCAGTTTGGTACCTTAAAATTGAGTTTGATTCGGATAGGTTTTTTCCGGATCCAATTTTTATGCACAAGGGTACACTTAGTACTTATGATTTTGACTCTGCTTTTGTCGCCTCAAAATCATGTTGATAAGTTCTACTCCTCCTTCTAAAATGGCTGACAGCTCTCATCAAATTCTCTCTACCGATATCTTCGATCCCTACACTAGCAGCAAATCCAGAACTTGCTCTCTAGACTTCTACTAATTATTGATAGCATTGGACTTCATATGTTTTGTTTCATTACCATTAAACCTAAGACTGAGAAAATACAAATCATAAATAAATAATATTGTATATAATTAAAAATAAAATATCCTCAGAAATAAGCAAGCAAAAAAAACAAAAAAGATTCTAACAATATCTGTCATGTCTATTTTAATGACTTTTTCAGATTCTATTTTGTTAATGTTGACTTTATTAAAGAAATTATTCATGTATGATTTTGTATATTAATAATGATTTATGACATTATTATTTGTTTCTACTTTATTTTAATTTATAGATATCTTTCTTATTTGTTTTTTTTTCCTCTTTGACCTTTATTGTTTCGAGTAACTTATTCATTATTAGTTGATTTTTCAGATTTATTTGATTAATTTTGACTTTTAGAAAAATATTTTTTTGTGTCTATGATTTAATATTATTAGTTGTGGTTCATTACATTATCATATGTTTCTATTTTTATTTTATTTCTGGATATCTTTCCTATTTGTTTTTATCTTTGACTTTTATTGTTTTGAGAAACTTAATTATTAGCTGAATCAAGTAGAACATATTTTGCATCAAATTTCTTATATATATATGATATTCAGGAGTATAATACAATTATATCTTTCTATTTGCTATTACCAAATTTTGACTCAATTGTATCATAACATGACTAAAGCAACTTTCATTGCTATCTTCATGGTCATTCTGGCTTTAGGTTTGTTTTACACTAAAAAACTATTATATATTTTCCATGTTTCTTATTTTTTATTTGGTGGTTTTTTGTTGATCTCCATTTTATTTTGTGGTTAAAAAAATTATATGATATTAATATATCTATTAGGTAAAATTGAAAAGATGATTTTAATATATATTTTAATATTTATTATTAGGAACACTGATGAAAGAGACGCAAGGACAAGAATTATGTCATGAATATTTTGTAGAACCACAAATCTGTAACCCTACACAATGTGTTAATCAGTGTACTACAAAATGGAAAGGATCAGGCAAGTGTATAGGGGGAACCAAGAACTGCATATGCACTTTCAATTGCAAAAACTGATGTTTCTTTTGTTTCGTTTAAACTATCATCAAATTATATATTGATAAAAAAACAATAAGTTGATATAAAATAAAAACATTGCAATCTTTTATATTTCTAATGTGGATTCGGATTTCAATTATTTGAATTAAACTATAAATACTGTTTCAGAATATATACGTTAAATCGCATTGTCAATTGACTCAATTACTATCAATACTAACGATAAAATTGCAATTATATAGCAATGAACATAAAGAATTAATATTATATGTTTTTTTTTATCAAAAGTTACTTTTATATGTTGTGAATTATTCTCATATGTTGTGAATAGATAATAGATACATAGAGAATATCAATATTAATGCTCCAACACTTGATCTGCAATCTGCAATGAAAGATTTTATTAAGGAAGAGTTATTGAGAGATGGTGTTATAAAGTTTTGATTGATTATAAAAGTTGAGAAATTTGTTATATTTTTAAAAAGATTTGTTAAATTTGGAAAGAATATGTTTATTTAGAAAAATATATGAAAATATTTTATTGTAATGACTTTGAGAATTTAAGCCATATATGTAATATTTTAAAATTCTTTCAAAATCTTGTTGTATGAGTTAAATTGTTTAAAATCCATATTCCAATAACACAATATTTTAATAGAATCATAGAAATTTTAAACGCTAAACTTTTTGAATAACAAAGAATTTTGGATAGAATTTTAAAATTTTTAAACCAATAACAATGGATTCTAGTAAGATTTTAAAAATCAATAAACCAATAATGATAGAATTTCAAAAATCTCAAAATCTACATAAATCCCTCTCCCAATAACCTCCCCCCTCCCCCCAAAGTCATTTAACCATAGATCTCTAGGAAAAGTTATTCTCTAAAGAAAAACTATAAATTACCATTTTAACATATCCAAATCATACAATCCTTATCAATAAAGGCAACAAAAATTACAATGTAGAGATAAACAAAAAATTGCAATCCTAATAAATCTCAAATGCTGTGATGCCTTAAAATCCATCTTTCACATGCTTTTCCATTGCAACTTTTCCTGCGATGTCTGGGTACGAACTCTTTTTCTATTGATTTCAATTCCTTCCAAGTCGTGGATTTTAGGAGAAGAAGGATGACTAAGGAAGACCTCGTAAGTGATATTGCCACATATTTCATGTATTTTGCATACATAAAAGTTAGTTTCTCATGTATTTATCTTGCACTTTAGGCTACTTTGCATCGCTTTAGGTCCTAGAGTATTCTTGCACCAGCGTATGCATGTTTCTTGCATTTTGCATCGCATTCAGGTTGTTTTCGGCTACTTTGGAGTCTTGGAAGATTTGTGGACGTGATAAGGCTCGTGAGGAGGCTCGAGGAAACTTGGAGAATTCAGGAATGCTTGCTAAGGATCAGAGATCGAGAAGCGGATCGAGCATGGCCGGTCGATCTAGATGAGATCGACCAGAAGATCGAGTAGCCCATCCGATCCAAGGGAACTGATCGAGACGGAGATCGAGTGAAGAGATCGATCAAGGAGTACGGACGTAAATGACGCCATGCACAGTAAGAGCCGGATCGAGTCCACCACTCGATCCTCCATAGATCGACTCCAAGATCGGACGAAGTACTCGATCCACCGAAGAAGATCGAGACACAAATCCAGCTGAAGTCACGATGTCCGAAGACGATCGAGCGAGATGCTCGATCTCGAGGTCGATCTCAGTACACTTTAACCGTTTTTGGCTTCTAGCAAGGGGGGACCATCGAGCTGTTTGGCCTATTTTGGGAAGGCAGCGATCTTGCTTTTCCATACACGTTTTCACTTTATCTTTTTAGAGTTTTTCTCTGTTCGAAGGCGATTTCGCCATTGTTAGACTTTGAAGCTTTTTCTTGCTTTGTTCTTGAATATTGAATCGTTTAAGTTTAAAGCAATCGTTTTTCATGTTTACTAGTTCATCGTCTATGCTTTGACCGGTTTATTTTATGTGTAGCGAGTAGTTTCATCGGGTTTTGGGGTGAGAGGATTCAAAGGGGTCGAAAAGGTTTTCAAAGCTTGGTGTTTTCTTGCTCTTCATGGCTTTCTCTTCTAGGATATCGAGTTCTTAAGGCTTAGAGACTCTCACACCAAGATCTTTATGATCCAAAGGACCTCTTACCTTGACAGGATCCAGAGGTCCTTGAAAATCGAATCCTAGAGGCTAGTCTACCTTTCCCAAACGCCATGGTAGTTTAGGGGACTAGTTAGGCCGTGTGTTTGAAATCTAAGTTTTATGCCCTTCAATCTCTTTTTCCGCCAAACGCCATGGGTCTGGAGAAGAGAATGAAGGAGCGATCCATACCACACGCCTTGGATGGATCTTGTTTTGTTTTCAGGGCCTAGAGAATCTCACAAAGTGAGTAGATCTAAAGTTTTCAAACCAAGCTTGAACCTTTGAAACCCTTGAACATGAATCTCGATCCTGGACCCTCTTTCTTAGTATTCTTACATCTCTTTTAATCATTCGCTTGCTATCTGTTCGCATCCTGGTCATTAGATTCATTTCTGTTGAACTTTTAGACGAGATCGATCGATGTTGCTCGATCTAGTGGTCGATCTTGTGGTCGATCCACTAGTCGATTTTTATAAATTCATAGCTTTGCATTTTAATCATTTTGTTTGTTCCTCGTGGTAGTTCACTCGTTTCTAGTATTTTTAAAATAGTTTTGCTTTGAATTTGACCGTTGCATCTAGTTTTTAGGATTTTTACAAAACTGTTCATCATTTGCTTAGCTTTGCATGATCCTTGCATTCTCATTGCACTTTCTAGCTCCTAGGTTGGATTGATTACTCTTGCACTATACTACGACTGTGTGCTGCTTGAGTTTTGATAACCTCCTGCTTGCATCTTGATAATCATTACATTGCAAAAATCTTGTTATCAGTAAGCAAAGAAGATGAATATGATAAGCTTTTATACTTATGGCTGATGCAAACTTTCAACAATGGAGATGAGTTCAAGGATCAACTGCTGAGGTATGTGTTGAAAACACAGTTTGATGTGATGTTGAATAAGGGGCAACCTAACAAGGTCGCAGCAGTATGCACACATGATAAATGTAAATGGAGGATCTGTTGCTCTATGGAAAAACCCATAAGGAAATGGATGGTAAAAGTATACGAGTGGCAGCACAATTATTTGCCCACAGGAAGAGCTCGGATGTTGAAACAGAGGACGATTGCAAGACTGTTCAAAGAGGAAGCGAGAAGAAGACCTGATATAAGGAGCTCTGATATCAAGGATGAGTTAATGCACAGGTACAACATCTCAGTTTTAAGGATCTTTAAATTCCGAAAAGCAAGGAGAATTGCCCTAGATATGATTTTAGATACCCAAAAATAGCAGTTTGCTAAATTATGGGACTATGAGTATATTTGTTTTGAACCGCTAAGGAGTACTTGGAAGCGCTATTGTAGGCCTTTGATAGGCGTTGATGGTGCCTTTTAAAAGTGGGAGTTGAAAGGAGAGATATTAGCAGCAGTTGATAGGGATGCTGGAAATAGGATATTCCTTTAGCTTGGGCTATCGTTAGAGGTGAGAATAAGGAGTCTTGGGAATGGTTCTTCAAAAAATTGACGGTTTAATAAATTTTGGATTTTAAAAGTAGTGTTACCTTCGACAAACAGAAGGTATGCTTTCTTCTCTTTTGAACTTACTAAATTTCTCTAAGCCTTTAAGTAGCAATTCCACTGTTTTATGTCTAAAGGCCCATAAGGTGACAGTACCGAGAGGAGTTGGCGTGTACATGTGCCCATTCTCTAATAGGGGTTTTGAATACTTTGGTTCAACATTAAGAGAGGTAACATGTGGCTCTTCCCAAGGACCAAACTCACACAAGTAGTGTGTGTGTGTTTTTGGTTTTGTTATGTTTTGTATCTGCTTTAGTTGGTGTGTTGTACTGCTATCTAAACTCTCTATCCAAATGTTGATTTGGTTTTGTTTTTTTTATCGGTTGTTTTGATGTCTTGTAGTACTTTAAACTCAGATTATGATGGTTTTTGAATGCCTCAAAATGCATCTTCCTTTTCATAACTATTTGGATTGGTTATGTCTCTATTTTGTTTTCATTTGAAAATCTCATTTGTGAATTCAAAAGACTAACACAATAACATTAAAACTAGAAACCTTACATTACCGTGTTAACCAACAACATTACAACCATTGCCACTACTTAATACAAAAACAAAATATCAATATTACACAACAAACTTCAAAGTTAAAGCTACAAGCAGTACAACCAAATACAACAACTTACTTCAAAGCATTGATGATTACAATAGTAACACCTACAAATCTGACCCATGAAATTAGCACAAATTGTCGCAGAAGCTTCTCCTTTTCAATTGACAATGCAATCTCTAACTTCAGCTTCTTGTTCTCGTTTTCAATCGCCACCAACAACTCTGATTCTTTCTTTCCTTCTTCCCTTTCAACCAGCGTATGGCCCACCAAAGCTCTCAACTTCTTCCGCTCCTCAAATTGCTCATGGATTAGATCTCGAGCTTCTAACAGACCCGTTTTTTACCAACCATGAGGCTTCTCAATATCAAAGCAGCAGAAGAAATTGCAGGACTTCCAGTTTGCATCTCCAGAACCATAGAATCTTCTTCCTGGATTATCATCTGTCCATGCATGTTTCATAAGGGACAGCTTATCACAGTGACATCTCACTGCACCCATCATCAGGGGCGGATCTACGTTGGTGGGTACGGGGGCACATGCCCCCGGTTAAATATATAGTTTTTTTTACTACTGTATCGATTATAATTAAGTCTCCTGTAAATGCACTTTGATGTCATACGAGTTCTTAGTTCGGTGCCTCTGTTAGATATTAACTTTTCTATTTTCCTTTGTTCTTTTTAGTTGTTTGTTAAGTTTTCTTCTTGTGGTTCTCATATATATATATATATATATATATATATATATATATATATATTTTTTTTAAATTAATAGGTCTCATATTTAAACATTATACAAATGCGATTTTTTCCTTGCAACTAATTAACATCAAGTCAAAGTTTATACTAACATTTTTGGTCATTCACATACATAATTAACGTAGATTTTTGAACATGTATACTTTAATTTTTTATTAAAAAAAAATTGTCATTGTGTTTTTGCCCCCAGTT